TGTATCTTTCTGCTTGAGTGCTTTCCCAACAGTCTTACAGTTCTGAGCACCCATTGTTACTTAGTGGAATCTGGATTTTCATATGCTGGTTTTTGATAATGGAATATCTGTGCTGTGCTGAGCTGAGCTGAGCTGTGAGCAACCATGGCCATGCCCTGCTAGCGAGATGCAAGGTGTATTTCCACTGCACAGCATGGCAAGCTGGTTTACCTTGATGACGTGTGCTGGTTTGGACAAATCACAGTGGTGCCTGTCGTGTGCAGCTCTTCATCTAACACCTCACTCCCACTGTTTCAGCTTGCTAGGGCTAGAATATGTCCATATCTTTTGTTGTTGACCTAACATGACAAGCCAAATGATTTGTTAAACAGAACTACCTGGGAAGTTGTTGTTGGAAATGGGCAAGCACTTCCAAAAATCACTTGACAGGTGATTGGATGAATCATCTGTCTGTCACTGTTTATCATAGGCAAACTTCAACCAGTCAGATTAACAGAGCCAGTCAGGAGAGGAGGGAAAACATCCATCTAGAAAAAACTTAAGCTGTTTTTTGCTCTTCATTCATTGCAGATGTACTCTCCATCTCTCTGATATAACTGATGCTATAGCAGCATTGATGCTAAACTGTTGAAGCCCTATTGTTGTTTTCAAAGTCACTTCTTGCATTGCACCCAGTGTTAAACCACCTCCGTAGTTGCTAGTAGTTCTTCATAAGAAGCTGATTGATCTGAACCACTGTAGTTCCAATACAAGTGCACAGCTTGAAGCCTGGCAAGATGGATTCTTGTGTGATCTTGCAAATCCAGTTACCTCAAAAGGTTATTGATGATCTATCTCTGTTGAAGAATAGCATTGCTCAAGAAGGTCTGCCTGTTCTGTGTCAAATACATGGCATTACTAAAACTGCTACAAAGGCCTCCACTGGTTAAGGAAACAAGGCCCCAGCATAGCTTGGCATGACTATCCACTGCTGCGAGGATGAAGTGCAAATGCATGTGTTAACAGTCTGCCATGTTTAAAGTAGACCATGGTATACTAAATGCAGATTAAATCATCTTTCTTCCACCTTAGTGGGTCAGGAGGCCTATTCCTCTGTTGACAGTAGATTATATCAATAGCAGTAATCTTTGGGATTCTTCTGGTGTAACTCCTCAGTGTTTGGTAAACACAACTAGGTAGTGACTCGCTGTGTAATGGATTCTGCACATCTACTAAGACCCAGCCGATGGAGCTGGCAGCAACATGAGCACACAGAAATAAGCCATGACTAAATTGAGGAAACAAGTGGCACTCACACCTACACAGAGCTGGAAAACTGTGAAGCCAACTGAAATGAGAGTGGGAATTGTTCTTTCGAACAGTAAAACTTGCGCTATAATGCCTCATTTTGGGGAAACAGCAGAGAGGAGCCGCATCAAGAGAAAAAGTAAGGCAGGCAGGGAAGAAAACTTTGTGCATCACAACATGAAAGATTTAAGAATTAGTACATTGTTTGCCCTTCACAGATTGTCCCTCACACCAACCCACTTCATATTACTTTTCATGGATCTTAAGCTTGCACAACAGTATCCAGACAAACTCAATTGACACATGCTGCTTTGCAAATTATGTCAGACAAATTGTGAGGCATTAATATGGCTAAGTACAAAAGATGCTGTCAGAGTACCTGAGCCCTCTCATTACTGTCACACTAATTTGAATGGCACAGACATGATTTCACTGTTTATTCAGAAATGAATGTTCGGTCACGTCAAGCTGTTGAAAGTGCAGCATTAATAAAGTGGTTTCCGAGAAAGAAGAACTGCAAACAAACTTGCCAGATAAAGACCGATTTAAAATGAGCAGATTTTAAAAGTGTCTCGCTCCTACTCTTCTGTCGTACAACAAGGCGATGTAAGCCGGTTTTTAGAGTAGAGGATTCAGGGCAAACTTTTACCCATGCTGTCTTTTATCCTGCCTTCAATTGTTATTCTACCTCTTGACGGTTGACACTTGGAGATGAGATCCTTTCGTTTGGGGAACCGTATAAAGTGTTGAGAGCTGCACCTTTTCTCTCCTCTTTTCGTTAAGTGTAAAAATGTTTCTTTGCTTATCTGGACAGTGTGTTCCAGCTGTCAGGCTAACAATGTGCTTTGTTGTGTTTGTCTGGGCAGAGAGCTTGGTGAAAAGCAGGGTAGAAACAAGTCAGATAATAGTTTTTCTTCTAGTTTAACCCAATGGGTTTGATTATATAAGGGCCCTGACACATCAAGCTGACGTCAAGGAACTAGTCCTGAGAAAGTGCTTTTGGTGAAAATTGCAATTGAACACACCACAAACACTAACGAATGCCCAGCTGAACATTGACATGCATATACGTTCTGTGCAAGGGGAAATAACTGGTCAGTAGTCACAATTTGGAATCTTAAAAGTACGTCCTGAATGTTGTGGTAAAGTGTGAGAAGAGATTGCACCCTATGGGTGGCTGAATAGTCAGACAGTGCTCTGTCACAGACTGCCTCCACACTAATCTAACATACTGAATCGCCTAAGCCTAAACAGGTGTTAAAACAGTATAGGGGGCTCTTGTTGCTTCAGACACTGGTGAGACTTGATATTCGGCCCAGGAAGTCAAGTTGGAGTAACCAAACTCTGAATTGGAAGGCCTCTCAGATGATCTACCAGGAATGTGCGATTGGCGCTGCTTTGCCTGATTACATTTTTTCCCCGGGCGACCCTGCGTCTTTTTGCCAGAGCCCTCTGCATTGGCAGCCCCGCTGCATCGGCGGTTCATCGACTGGCTTCATCCAAATGAATGAGAGGGCTGCGTTTGTTCATGCTAGGCTATGGTCTGTCTGAATTCAGCATAAGCGACAACTAATGCCAGTTGAACCAGACTCACTGCAAAAGGTGATGGTCAGCCAGTGATGCTCAACGACTGCCAGACAACCAGCTGTTGGCTTGGTGTGTCAGGACCCTAGGTAGCAGGGCACTATTTTACTTCAACCTGTAGGTGTTATCAATAGGTTGTTGCTAAGTTAACTCATTTAATCCATTGGTGCATACAGTTCGTATACGTATTTTGATGCATTGATTATACATGGTCGTTTTTGACTAGGAACGAAGTACTTCTTGTGACTATCAATAATTTGATCAGCCCCAATCTTGAAATTGTACAACCTGCAGTCACAGGGTTTTCTAGGTTACAGCTGTTCTGGTTGGCAGTGCAGTGTTTGCACATTAACCGGCCTTTTGATGGCACTCTGACTGCATAATAAAAACTGCACCCATAATAACACCATTTTTGTTCAAAATGATCTTTCTCTTTTTAAAGCTGCCCTAATCAATATGTTTATATTAACAATGGGTCAAATTACTGTTTGTAATGTGAAAGGTGTTCCTCATAACAGTAGCACAGAGAATTGTCGTCCAATTCTTCAGTTCTCCTCAACTCAACAGACTCTTTCACAGTTGATCGTTTGTTATGAAAGCGTTGTGGACAACCCCCACCGTGCACTACCTGCTCAGCACTAAACAGCTGGCAGACACAGTTAGCAACTAGTTAAGGAAGATAGCAAAGCATTTAGCAACTAAAGAGCCTCGAGTTGGTTGACACCAGAGACTCATCCGTGTCTGCTGGATGTGTAAATAGCAATTGTTTGACAACATGTCATCCACCAAACATAATTATGACATTCAACAGTAAATACAAACAAAGTCATTGCTTTTTCTAAATCCGATAAAATTCTGTTTGTTAATGGTGTTTTACTGACATTTTATTCATTTTCTTTGGTCTAAAAAGACTCATTTAAACTAAAATTAAGTTGTAATTTGAAGTAGTCATGCTGATTTTATTCATCACAATGGGAGAAATACAAATTTAGTTGTTTCTCTTTCTTTGTAATTATTTCATTCTGTTCTTGGCAAAACACTTTATGAGTGCAGATGAACATTTAAACAAGAACCACTTTTTTCTTTGAGCTCACAGCCACCGTTCAGCTTTCTGTCCTGGAGTGGCCCCTAAACAGACAGCTGCTGTGAACACTCAGACATGGCAAACAAGAAAAAAAGTGGACAAATATGTCATCAATCATGACAGCTTTGAGCCGGGAGGACAACTGAGCCGTCATCCATTCATCTCCTGCCATTTTATTCCTTATATGCTTCTTCCCCTGTTTCCTTCCTTCACCTATCCATCTCAATATCACTTTATTCCCCTCTTATTCCCCCTTTCCCTCTCTCAATCCTTTCACTCCATTTTGTATTCCTTTCATTCCCTCACTCTGATCTTCTGGCGCTGTGTTTCTGGCTCCCAGTCTGTATCTACAAGGTTGTAGTTTGTACACATTTTAAAATATTCATGTGGACTTTTTTCTTTTTCTTCTTATTGTGTTTTATTGTTGCTAAAAGACAAGAAAACCTTTAGACTTACCTTTTTTGCTGTTAAAACCTCATCTCAAATATACAGTTTATATCTTAGGCAGCTCAACAAACCCTTTTTGGAGTATGCTTAAATGATCTGTGTGCTGTGAACATTTTCACTGAATGTACAAAGAGATGCAGAAACACACAACACTTTACATGAACACAAAGCTTGCGCTCATAAGTCTTCATAAGGTACTCCCATAAAGGCTTATAGGTCAGTATGAAATCTTTGCCAGTTAATGTCCTTCTCTGCTTGATGGACACTCTTGAAACTTGCAGAGCCAAAGAAAATTGTATGGCTGGGTGAGCAGCAATCTTACCTCAAAAGGTATTGATGGTACAATAAAACTTAACAATTGTACTTGAGGGCTGGGGCCGTTATTGCTGAGAGAGACACCTCACAGGTCATTAATGTCTGCTTAATTCATATCACACACACAGATGAGATCTCTACAGTGGAGATAGCACTCCAAGAGTTGTGTTATGTCATAATTGCTGCTGCTTGATCTCTGGATAATTGTTTCTATAATTGTCTTTATGTACTCTAGCCATGTTCTCATTGATTTTCTTTCTGTTATGTGTTCCTGCATTTACAGAGAAGAAAGAGGTGACCCAGAGTCTGGAGAACTACACCTCCAAGTGTCCAGGTGGAATGGAGGTCATCACCCTTCCTGATGGCCTGAAGCTCCCACCGGTGCCCTTTACAAAGCTCCCCATTGTCCGGTAAGACAGGCGTGTGAGTGCTTGCCACTTTGACTCATCCTGTCACGTGTCGTCTCGATTTTTAATTTGGCAAAAAATATCCTCCAAATTAGAAATCTGGCACATAAAACACATAAAAGTTTGGCAGTCAGTTAGCCATTACTGCTAAACGATGGTGTGAAAAATGAAAAAGATCTGAATATATAATTGGTCCTTTTAATGTCAATTGCTTTGAAATTAGGCTTTTCATTAATCTTTCATGGAATGTTAATTTTAAAACCATTCCTCCAATTGAGTAAACTGTGCTTTGTTCTCCTTTTTTTTTTTTTTGGGAAGTTCCTGATTCAAAACTATTCAAAAGTAACCTAACACCCTCTGGAAATCTTCCAACCTCCAGTGCTGCAGTGAAGTACAGGTGTGGTTACAGGTGCAACAGAGCACATTTCTGCAGAGGTGCTCAGTGTGTTTAAACAGGGTGGGAACTTTCAACCAGAGAGGGCAGCAAAACACAGCTGTAGTTGAGTTACTGCTTAAATTTGAGAACGTGACTCTGGAAATTGATGTGACACAATCAGCTAGTGAGAAGACCTATCACTCTGTTGTATTTGTGGGAACTAGAAAAACCCTCACAATTAGGGCTGGGTATCGTCTGGGTTTTTCTCTGATACCGTTGCTAAAACAATACTTTGAACAAAAATGGTACTACAAAATGTTTTTGTAATTGTTACTTTAAATTAAACAATATATTAACTGTTAACAGAATAAAGTATGCTTAAATATATTCATACAAATAAATCGCTTTACAAATATATATATATATATATATATATATATATATATAACAACTTAAAATAAAACCTAACCCAACTACAATAATTTAACACTAAACAACAGTCACACTACTAATAACAGCAAAATAAATGTAGAATTTCTATTCTTGGTACAAGTTCTAGCTTCAAAATTCAGCAAAATGTTTGCAGAATTATTATCATATTTGACCTAACCTGAAGAAAGGCTGCCATCATCATCAGCAGTGGTCTCCCCTTCATAGATATACATGACAAGTCAGTGTGACACGTTGCATCTGCTATTTATATCTGTGCGCTCCATCTCTGGGGCAATCACTGCCGGCTGATTTGCTTGGCGTGGGGTCACACGAGCAGTCGAGCATGGTGCATCCCTCTGCTTTCAAGTGTATCCTGTGTGTTGCCAGATGTTTCCCCCCTTAACACGCAGTTGGTTTCAAAATATTTTTTGCACGTCCCCTCCAGTGTTGGAATCCCAAAATGGCTGCACTTCAGACTGTTTAGCTTGGCATTTTAACCGTGTTTAAGCTAGCTAGCGGTAGGCTACCTGCTGCCAGAGCCATATAGAGAGAGATTTGCTGTAATATAAACTAATGATAGCACATGTGTGGTGATGCCTTTGTTGCCTGTAACATCCACACCATAGAGGAGCTATTACAGCAGATAGGTACTGAAATGAGGCACCAACATGTGCGCTGTGATCTGGTCTGGTAGATACCGGCCGTTTACAAACCAGTTGCAGAGTAGCGCTTCTTCTCTCACAAAATATCTTTTAAAATTATTTTTGGGGCTTTTATTGCCTTTAATGGATAGTGACAGCTGAAGATAGACAGGGAAAGGGGGGAGAGCGAGGGGGTTACACGCAGCAAACGGCCACAGGTGGGATTCGAACCCTGGGCCACTGCAGCAAGGTACATGGAGCTATCCGGGCGCCTCACAAAAGACTTTTGGCTGGGTACCGGCTGCAGAGACAACACAAACAAGTTTCATTTGGGTCGGTTATCAAGCAGCCAGCTGAATGTTTTAGCCTAATCCCTGTATTTTGCCTACATCTGTGTCTGAACTCAGAGCCAATAAAATCATTTTTCAACGTCTCTAGTTTTTAATTGTTTTTGGACATCAGTGAATGTTTATGGCACAGAAGAATCAAACTTTTGCTAGGCTGCAAAAAAAATGGATATCAGACTTGTCCTTTTTAATAGATTTTGGATTTAACTCAAACCAGCTGAAGACACAGAACAGACCCACAAGGACCCGAAAAACCTTCAATCTTGTTTTGCGTGAACAAATTATGTGCATCTGTTTTGATAAAGAGTTTATCAGTTTTATCACCAAAAGTTGTTTGGTTCTCAGAGCTCCACACCCACCTCCAATAATGCACACTGTTTGGGTTCATTAAAGGAAAAAGGGTCAGAGTTAGGGGTTAGGGTTAGGGTAACCCCTCTTTAGAGGTCTCTGAGCTTTTTGAGTGTAAACATAATTAAATAAATATGGGTTCCTTTGCACATACTGCAGTTAGCTTTCACTGTTGTAGCAGAAGTGCTGGAGAGCCTGAAACAAACCAAGAAAAAGCAGGCACTACCAGTAAAGCCCCTCCCAAAACTGTCTCTCAACTTCTCATGGCGCATTCGACCTTTTAATCGTACAAGTCATTAGCCTAACCATGAAGTTGTTTTGCACATTAATGAGCAATAGTAACTTTCCTACAGAACTTTGGGTCTTTATCTGCTAGATTACATTTAGTTATCTGTGAATGAGTTAATAGGCTCCTGATCCCTGTAAATGAGCAGCACACACTTTCTTCAAGTGTCTCTACTTGTGTTTTTATTGCTTTGCTGACCTCTAACAAAGAGTATCTTACTTGCAATACACTGTAATGATTGTGGATATTCATCACAAACACTCGGGTTATACTGCTGATGTAACCCTAAAGCTACACCAACTAACATAATGTGCAACAAAACCAGTTTTTCTCATTTCATTATTTTGCCTTTTCCTGTGATGTCCAAACTAGATCAGTGAAGCTCCTCAATCTGCCTGTCAGTCTGCGTCCTCACAAAGTGAAAGGCCTGCTGGGACAGAACATGTCCACTGCCAGCCCCTTCATCTACTCACCAATCATCATGCACAACAGAGGAGAGGAGCGTTGTAAGAAGATAGGTAAGCCCAACATAATTTCTATTTACAACCATATTTTGCTCACTGTGACCGACTCTACGTACGGTGTGCCCTGACACACCACACCGATGCCAAAGAACTAGTGGTGACAATAGCCGACCTGAAGTGTTGCGTCACTTCAGGTCGCCTGTGTTAAAAAAGCCGCAGACGAGGGCGGACGAATGCCATCAGTGTGGAACACACCGCAAAAACTAGAACTACTGACCGTCCAACATTGGCCACTGGTGTGTCAGGGCCTTAAGACAACCATATTCCAGCACAGGAATGTGAAATGACTGAGGTTTCAATGCTGACTTTCAGCTTTAACTTGACGGTGTTTACACATACATCAGCTGGTGAAACGCACTGGTATGACAATAAAGTTTTCCTGGGGTTTTAACCTCTTCAGTGTTTTATGCAATCCCAGACTAAGTCAAATTTATCATCGCACTACATTTGAGTAGCAGTGGAAGAGTGAGTGTGGCTGTCCATTGGCTGATGTGTATTTGACATGGCGTTAGTCTTCAGGTTATAGACATCAATAGCAACATGTTGCCAACGCTGAGTCAGGGACATCATACAGGGCCCCCTTCATCTCTTTGAGGCCTTTGAGGTCCATCCTGGGCCCTTTTGAAGCAGAAGTTTTACTTTTAGTTTTGTGTCAGAGTACATTTTTATCAAAGTATAGTTGGTTTAATCAGTGCCCAGCTAGACTCATAGAGCAATTAATGTAAAATTCACTGACATCACATCAGAGTGCAATGACCTGAGAACTGATGTGGATAGTCAGTGTTGAGACAAATACAGATGCCAGTAAAGCATTGCTTTCAGTGATATTTTTTTTCTTTGACTATAGTTTTATAGCTAAACCAATGTATTTTTATCTTTCATTAATCAATATATATTCCATCTAAAACAACATATTACTAGCTAAGATAACCATGTGCATGGAAATATGGAGTTATACATGACTTTTCTTTATTTTGATATCTGCATTATATATTGGCCGTCAGTTGCCCTGCTCTGTAAATATTGGCATCGGCCAGTGAAAATCCCATATCGGTCGACCACTAGTTTCTTGTTTTTGGTTTTGGTTTTGTTTTGAGACTAACTAATAATCAAAGCCTTTAAGCAGTTTGTTTATTCTTTGCTTGCATTAGAAATGGGCATTTTTTCAAATGAGCCATTACAGAATGAGCCCTAAGAATGAGCCTTTTGTATCTACAGATGCCTTCCATGAAGTCCTGCATGTTTAACTACCATGCTTCTACAATAGCCCAGAACAGACAAACCCAACACTGGTTGTGGAGAGGGACTTTTGCCTTTTTCCGTTAGTTTCACAGCCACCGTAGTTTCTTCTACACACAGGTCATCAAATACAGACGCGAGTGGTGTTCAGTTAGTTGTAATCTGCAACTTAACCGCTAGATGCAACTGAATCCTACTCACTGGTCCTTTTAAATACTGTATATAAAATGTAAATTCAAAATTTTCTAAATCATTCCTGTTCAAGATGGATGAGTAAACCACAAATGATTTTAAGTAAACGGCCAACATCCTTACCGTCAAGCTGCTCTTTTCTTTGATCAGGATTTAGATGTTGAAAGTCAGATTCTTGTGCAGTATGGTGTTCTGAGGCTCCAGAGATAAATCCAGACATGCCTTTCCCTCTCAGTCAGTGCACCTCTGGGGAGCTAGCTGCCAGCTAATGAAGTTAAGATTCTCTCTTAACTCCTTTAAGGCAGCTCCCAGCTTGCAGAAAACTGTAGAAAAACTCTTTGAAGAATGGTTTAACTGTGAACATGCATTTATCATACAAGGGCCACATGTAGGCATGTCCTCCCATACAGAGCTCAGTATTATTTCTGCTGTCACAGACAATTGCAAACAGGGCTGCAGCATGCTGTATGATATCAGCCTCAACCTCATTTGCCCTTTTTAATCTCTTACAGTAACACAGCTTGGTATTTCCAACCAGAAAAATAAATTTACATTGACAAACTACATTGCCATCAGTGAAATGGGTAGGGATACTCTCGGGGACTTCATTATGCTCAGCTATGTGCCACAGCTGTAAACTTTTACAGCTTTAGAGTAAACCATCTCTTCCCACTCATACATTTTACTGACAGGGAGTCAAAATCTTTTAGTATTCTGCGCTAGGCCCTAGCAGTTGAGGTGTGTGGAATATGTGTGTGCGTGTTTTCTTGCTCTTTAAGTCACATGCTATGAATCAGCTTGGTGTTCAGCCATAAAAGAAGGGGTCCTCTAATGGGAGATTGTTTTCCCTATAATTGCTCTGAGACTCAGTTTTAAGAACCTGGTAGTCCATGGCTATCCATTCACTGATGTGGGTGATAGGTTATCTATTACAGTGGTATATGGGCATACAGGGGAGTACATTTTACTTTATCTAATCCTCATAGGGGAAACAGGGACACAGGTCTGTAAGTGTTTGGACAGTGAAACATTTTCTATTGTTTTGGCTCTGTGCTCCAGCACATTGGATTTGGAAACAAACAATAACTGTGGTTAAAGTGCTGACTTCCAGCTTTAAGGATGCTTGGGGTTATTGTAGTAAGTGGGCAGTAGTGCTTGTTGCCTTTTTTTTTTTATATATTGTCAAATTTTAGAATAATATAGCAGAGTAGTGATCCTTAACATACAGACTGAAAGCAAAAAGATGAATGAATGTATTCTTCTGAAATGTACTCTGGGTAGCGCCAGTATCTGGCTTTCCACTCGGGATCTGTTCCAACGTAGTCTTTAGCCTGTAGTGCAGACACACAAATGTTTCCATCAGCCAAAGTTCTCAATTATACATTTCAGAAACATTGTTACAACCAATTGCGACTTACTGTCACCTTTCAAGCTTTCAGCAGTTATTTCTTGGATTAGTTTCTCCTTCAGAAACAGATGGTGGGTCAATATCATGGATTCAGTTCAATTCAAGCTACTTTATTAATCCCACTGGGGGCAATTTGTTCAGAACAGCTTCTCTTTGAAAATATACAGTGACATACATACAAACAAATGAATGTATTAAGACAGATGGATACGGAGTGGCCAGGCAACCTTGATACCAATTTTCCCAGTGGCCAACAAAAAAATCCCTTGTGATAGATTCCTTTATAACATAAACAGTTATAAACAGTTACCATCTTTGTAATTATCTCCAGATTTTTGGGACTAATAAATCAGTGTCAAAATGACAAGTTCCCAGTGTTGTAAAATTCAGCCTCTTATAAAGCGATGTGTAATATTTTGGCATCTTATATGCTTTCAAACTTATGTATCTGCTGCTGAACTGGACTGGACTGATTGTGTTTCATCTTATTGGTATTGGCTTTCAGCAGCATCTTGAAGTCTTCATCAACAGATGGAGTTACATAGATATCGGGGCTTGAGTCAAGATTCTTTTATCCAACTACTATTTCACAATAAATGTCTTTCTTCTCTGTAAAATCTTAGCAACTTATGCCTGATGAATGGATGAACCATTTCTGTTTTTTTAGTATTTTTGCATGGGCTGTTTAAATTCTTCCATTTACAGTATTCACTAAATGTCCACCATAAATATGTCTCCATCTGAGGCGTAATGACTTGTAATTTCGAATGAGCTCAAAAAGCTTGGCTTTAGTTATGTTTTAATGCATTCCCTCCTGCTTTGGGGTCGCATCATTACACATGGATGACTTTTGCTCCAATTCCCAGGTGTAGTTTGCATGCATTATTCAGTATGAGAGATTAATGTTGCCGATAGTTTCACCAAATATTTCTCTGTAGGATGCAGTAACACCAGTAAACATCTTAAGGTTCTGTCTCAGGTCAATAAAAGATGATTTTCACAGCACATGAGAGACAGTTTGATCAAATAATTTGCCCTTTAAAGAAGCAAACACAGGCACCGTTTAACTAAACACAGCCATGCATTGACTCAAAACATTCATTATTGCTCTGTGCGATGAGGTTTCAATCCTTTGGAGATCTGTGCAGAATCTCGATGGGCACTTGAGGAGTAAGGAGTAAGGAAACACAAATAATGTGGCAGCAATCCACTTTGTTTTTCTATTTTCTGAGGTGTATTTCACACTTAATTGGCTGGCTATGAGAGCGTGCCTGTGAGCCAGACCTGAGGGTTGTGTGGGGCTTTCCAGATATTCATATCATAGATATCTTTCTTTTGACTGACTTAATTTCCCAAGGTGCATGGCTGCAGTTTGCTTTCTATAAATCCCTTTTCCTGCCAGGGTCTGAGCTTGAGGTCTGAGAGGATTTTCAGGCCCTCTTTTGCAAGTCTATTTAGAGCAATGGACTCTCCAAATGGACTAGAATATGTTATATTTCAAATGAAGATGGGTATGGCTACAGTGGGACTAAAGCTTTTCAATCTAACAAACCCTTTCAGCATCTCATTCAGGAATGATGGATACTGCAGTGTAGCTGTAATCTCTTCAGAATTTTTTTTTCTAAAAGTAAGACTAAGCTGTTTCTCAAGTTCTTCTCTCAGGAAATCAGTGAATCAGAATATTTCCTAAATATTTTGAATCTGAGTACAGCACCCATGATGCAATGCTAACCTGCCTTTTACACATTTCTCTGGAGTCCATTTAATTAGAGCCTTACATAACTTGATCCCATTATCCCTGCTGTTAACTCTTCACAACAGCTCAATAAACTTAATTCTGTAAGCTAATAGTGACGCACTGAAAAGGTCCTATCATGCCTTTTAACAGCTCCAGCGTCAATTCAAATGATTTTTTCCTCCCATTATATTACTGTAAATGTATATACACTACGAGGCCCAAATTATCAAGGAATCAAGGAAATGTATTTGTCATTTTACAACACAAGGTTGCATAATGAAATGAAAGTTTGTAGTTCCTTCATGCTACACACGTAGAAAAAGATAATCAAATTCATAGAATAACAAAGGATACATAAAATAAATAATATATACAGTTATTTATAAAGATATACGAATACACCCAGGAAATAATTCTACAGTGCATCTTTTGAATTTGCGTCTGGGGGAATGTAAACAACAGCAACAAGATAGTGATGACAATATGGTTTCATCATCACATTAAAAGAAACAGTGTCCATCCACTTTGACTGTGTTCTGGCTGCAGCATCTTAACGCGCAGCCGTTGCCATAGTAAAGAACTTCTGAATCCAATTGATCAATGGAATCCACCCACACATTAAACCCATATATGATTACTGATTCGTCATCTTACTGGTCCTAGATTCAACAGGCTTCTACCAATGCAGCCCCTAGCATTTCTTTTGGTATGAGCACCAACTTAGTGAAGACCAGCACTGATGTTGGGTGATAAGGCCTGAAGTTTGTTTTATCTGTACAAAAAAGTGTAAAAACAACAGATTGTGTACAACCACAATCTGTTGTTTTTACACTTTTTTGTACACACACACACACACACACACACACACACACACACACATATATATATATATATGTTTCTGGGCAGGGCACGGTAACTTCCTGGACGCCCCTGTGGCTTAGGAGTTATGACGCTGATTATGAGCCACAACGGCATAAAAAAGAAAGAGAGAAATAGTCTGGCACATAACCCCCACTAAACGTGTCCATTGCTGAGTTTTAGAGATTCTGATATTTTGTTTCCTTTGGGTCCAGCAAGCTGTGTACCCGTTTTCATCATACGCTTAAACGCCCTCTTGCTGAGAGTTAGATGAGAAGGTTGATACCATGCCTGTAAGCTAAACCCTGAGCTAGCTTACTTAGCTTATTTTTGCACATACAATTGTCAATTTTACATTTCTGTTTGTGTATGTGGTTGGATTTATTTACTTATTTTTGACAGAGCCAGGTCAGCTGTTCTCCCGGGTTTTCAGTCTTTATGCTAAGCTATGCTGACCGGCTGATGCCTGTAGCTTCATATTGAACAGACAGATCTTAGAGTGGAGTGGACTTTTACTAACTAAGTTTACTTATTATCTAACTCGCGACAAGAAAGCGAATGAGCGTATTTTCCAAAAGGTCAAATTATCCCTTTAAAGAAGCTGGATGCAGTTTAACAGAAGCGTAGCATAAACTCAATGATTATTTGCTTTGCTTCTAAGTTAATTAAAAATTAATGAGGAAAATGTTATATATATTTTATGGGACTTTGTTTTTATTTACATCATCTATCACAGACTTTTGCCTTTGATCTGTAATAGCAATGCATCCTAATGGTGTATTTCCCTCAGCTCATTAATTACAAATGGGTTTTAATGCCACTGACGTCCTATTCTAATGTCTCTTTTTATTTTCCCAGACTTCCAGTGGGTTCAAGGGGATGTTTGTGAAGTGCAGCTCATGGTCTACAATCCCATGCCTTATGAACTACGTGTGGAGAACATGGTCAGTGAAATTTGAACACTTAAATTAGAAATGTACCGTAATAACATGCTTTTAAATCAAATCGGTGGTTTAAATATTTGATATTTCTGAACCTTCCAATATCTAACCACAGGTTTATGAAATCAGGAGGTTGCTGACATGCTTTTCTTGCGGTAGTAATACAAACAGTCCCTCTGCACCCACCTATGGATTGCAACAGGGCAAGTGAAAATGCTTTGTAATCATCCTTGATAGCCTAATTAAGGTCCCTTAAAAGCTTTTTTTGACAGTTTAATACAGTAATGATTGTATGAGATGGTGAGAACAACCTCTTCTCGGTCCTGACAGTAAGAACACATCACTAGGGAGAGGCACACCCCCTGTAGTGTCATTACTTTTATGGTCTCACCCACCATCCTGTCAGACCAGATAGGTTCTATATCGAGTAATGCGTAAGACCATTCACACTCCTTTTCTGTGCAAAATAAAGTTTGAAAAGAGCCATCTGACATCAGGGAGTCCAATTTAATTGTAGTGTTTAATAGCTGCTTGGTGACTTCAGCAAGTTCAGAACATTTCCTTATTAAAGGACCTCCAATGGTAATGTAGACCTACACTTCAGCGACATCCATTTCTAATGTATGTACTTTGTCACTCCCTTACTACTCCTTTTCAAACACGCACACCAGTTGAGCCGCTTTATCAGGTTCAAGGGTGCAAAAGATTACAAAATAAATGTTCTTCCTGCACACTGCTGTGTCTGTTTATGAATGCAGTGATGTGGGACAACCTTGAAATGCAAAGCAATCATCAGGTTCAATAAAAGGCCAGCAGGGAGTGGCCTACTTTCAGCTGCTAGATAGCAGCGGCACACACAGCAGCGCACGCAATGTACTACCTGTCAAAAGTGATGTTGCCTTTAATTATTTGGAAAGTCGAGAACAAATTGCCGTGAAAGTTTCGTGGCAGAGTGTGAACGGAGACAGTGGCCTCTTAATTGTGGCGGCTGTCTTGGAGCTGATGCCAAATAGACTTGGACAGGTCTCGCTGGTTGATTTAGCCGCCCTGCATCGTCTGATAACAGCACATGCTGTTACAGACACAGGAAATGATGGCGACCTCCAGTTTGGAACATCTGGAAAGTGTTTAAATGGGGGGAGTAATCACCAGCCTGTTATCTCTGAGTGTGCATTTGTGTGTGTTAAAGCAGTGAGGCAAATCTGGCTAGATCGGAAAGTGTGGCTGCAATACGGAGGAGTGTTCCCTACAGATAAAATATAGATAAAGATTGATTTAAATACAGATGCATCAAATATAAATGGCAGGTTGAACAGTACAAAAGGAATATCTATGAACAAATAAATAAATCAATGAAGGGTTTCTAGGTGCCATTAGATCTTCAGTAACAATATGATTTATAATTTAAAATAGCTTGGGTCCATCCTCTTCTCAGGGGAGAGGCATCTGGAAAAGGAGATCATAGGTTTCATTGGAAGGTAGGGATAAATCTTTACCATTTTCTGACATTTATAGACATAATTATAAAATCAACGTTTTAGTCAAGTCCACAGCAATACTGCTGAGCTGTACAGTGATTTTGGAGCAGTTGCCCCAGTCAGAATTAATTAAGAATAGTTATTCTGATTGTCACAAAATGCCTAAATGACAAGAAAAAGACCAAAAGATTAAGATAAAAATGTGAACTTTTGAAAAAATCCTTCCAAAATTGCAAAAGCCTGAAGAACCGCTGTGGTGTATGCGCTCTATTTGAAGTTCAGGGAGTAACAGTACTTCTCACACTATAGAAGCTGCCTGTTTGCAGAGTTGCTGTGAGGTGAAACAGTCAAACAGGCAAGGTCAAAGAATATTGAGAATGTCATTATCTCCTCCCCACCTACAGGTGAATTGATCAGGTCACAGATGGAGGCTAACGCCCATCACAGCTCTGTGGCAGCTGGGAACCTCAGGTGGTGTTGTAGAGTCACGCAGGTAGTGACAGACAGGGTGACGCAAGCTGCCGAGAGCTCCTCTGTACCCCGGACAAAGTGACTGCCGTTAGAGCAGAGCCACCATCCATTCACTGTACATAAACCAGCTCTCTGAAACACACTGGGAAACAAACACACACACAAGGTCACTGTTCCATCTTCCGTCACCAAGGTGACCCTGTAGTTTGGCAAGACAGGCCCTCTTTTTCAGTCACCACACGACTTCACCACTAATACCCAGCTTTGCTTTGCGCTTTATTGATTTTCTATTAAAGTGGTGCTTTTTTGCACAACCCCCACCCCTACCCTTTTATTTTCAAAGGGGTCACCGTCAGACACTTCTGTCATTCTCCCCACTAACAAGTGTGGGCTATTTATTTACTTTTTTCCACAAAACGACAAATGACACTTTGAGTTTAATCTCTTACTGAACTTAGGTCAGCTGAGTTATTTGCAGTAATAATGGAGTCCTCATTCATTTCAATAATAAAACAAGAAAATAATATGTAAAATCATATTGTACAATTGAGAAAAGTTTGTGGTTTAAATTTTAAATCAAATCAATACCAAGAGAAATGTTCTACTTGGGAGTCTGTATTTTTTAATTTGTCTGGCTTTCTCTGCTTAGCTTTTGTGTTGCTATCAGATGTGCAGTGATGTGCCAGAGCAAAGAAATAATGACAATAATAATCATACCATCATCATAGCATTAGCTAAAGCAAACAAAAGGTTAACTGCATGCTGCTTGCGTTCCTCAATGAAGTCAGTGCACACTAGCTCAAACAATACAATTCACTTTGCACACGCTTTAATCGTTATTGTAAGTGAAACAGGCTAATTAACCTTTTCAAGGCTGAATGCAAATGAACTATGTCCAATAGGTTAACGCTGATACTGCTATCCAATAAAGGTGTGTAATGTCCTGAAGTGAAAGCAAGGAGAGTTTAAATCACAGCCGTACTACCTCAGAGGCTCAGCTCTTCGGCAGCCTTCCCTCTAGTGAGGTAGTGTCTGCTTTTAGGGATTGATGCAGTCATTACGTCACCTCAGTCTGCCTCGTGCAACCAGGCAGTGTGTACTGAGAATGTAAATACAGTTATTCTGAGGGTGCATGAGTACACGTTCAAAGAAGACTTTAAAGCTACGTGCAGGGATTTTGTGACTGCAAATAAAGCTCAGGTGATATCACCTGTATATTTTGTGCTGTACTTGCTAAATATCGGGATGTTAACATTGTCGTTTTGAGGATTTTACAGTGCTTATTATAGCCTCACAGAGCATGCAAGGCTGTAGACTTTAAGACCGAAAACAGTCCATCCCACATCCAAACAATGACAAAAGATGACCTTTGGTGATGTCACGAAGTAGCATGGAATCAAGGGAGTTTTTGTCTTCACCACCATTGTTGTCATATCAGTCAGTCTCCCCTGGTTAGCATTCCTTCTGTGTTTATTGTTCTGGAGGTTTCCTTTGGGGCCGAATTATCCTCAGAGGTCTCCTCCTCTGCAAAACAAACGCCCCCGCTGATTAAAACCGATAAAACAGTTTCACCTTAAAAATCAGTGTCTCTCTGACACTCTTTGGCAGACAAAGGACGTCCTGAAGGCCTGCCAGCTGAACTGCTGCTAATGTTTGCTCAGCTTGTTTCTCTGGTAACTTAAGATCAAGAAATTCAGGACGTTTTTACCAGGAGCCGAATTATGCGCAGAGGTCTCTTCCACTCCGAAACAAACAGACTTGATGATTAAAGCCATTAAAAACACTGAATAAAGCAGTTTGACCTTAAAAATCAGTGTTTCTCCAACGTTGTCTGGCAGACAAAGGACGTCCTGGAGGGTTTGCCAGCTGAACTGCTGCTAACGTTAGCTCAGCTTGTTTCTCCGATAACTTAAGATATAGATGTCTGATGACTAAAATCTTCCTCTGGTTAAAATATACCACACCACACGTGTATGGGGATATGATGCCATTGACAGGCGACCAGTGAAACACACCATTACCAGAAAATTAGTGATTTCTTTGGGATTTAAACATGGTTGGAAACTTTTGGGATAATGTAAATACGCAACTCATATATGTAGGTCTAGTGTTTATAGACATTTTAATTTGTTAATGTTACAGATTATATGTTTGAAACAACGCAAGGAGCTGCATAGGTCGGGGTTGACAACCAGCTCAAGATTTCCGAGTGCATAAAAAAACCTCGGCACGGGATATTGTGGTCTCTGCAACACCTAGTGGGAATTTGGACTGATGAATTTGAAACCTGTCTGATGCCTCCTCCCTCTGTGTTGTGAGCTGTAGGACTTATTTTCAATCACATCTCAGGCACACATGGCTCAAGTGGCCATTTCCCATGGAGAGCAATTTTCTCCAATGGAAATGGCCGTCTCGTGCTGACAGAGATTTAATCTTCACGACATCATGGGTTGATTAAGATGATGCATCACATGGAACAGTTGGAGAGATACTTCACACTGAACTGTTAGTGGAGAATCAGACAGCTGCACTGCTCTCTGCTTTTTCAAAGGGAAAACAAGTTGGGGCCATGTTAGCATGGTGTGCACATGGAGAGTCTTATATGAGATCTGATTATTTGTAGAGGTTTCCTAGTCAGTTTTTATTGGCTTTGAAACAGTTTTGTTCCCAGTACAAGTTGTTTTTTTCCGTCTGATATCTGTACTAAACATTGTCACTAAGGTGTTCTTTGTGACAGAAGTTCTTTTACATTTTTATTCTTGTGCAACTAGACCTACAATTTGTGTGGTTTATTCTCATCATTTAAGCTCAATTTGCTTTTTAAATTAGATTTTATTTCTGTCATTTGTGCTTCTACATATATAAATTACATGCCCCATCCTATCTCATCTTGATTTCAGGGTTTGCTGACCTCCGGAGTGGAGTTTGAATCCCTGCCTGCTGCTCTGTCCCTGCCCGCGGAGTCTGGCCTGTACCCCGTCACTCTGGTTGGCGTCCCGCGTACAGCTGGCAACATCACTGTCAATGGTGAGTCCAGCTGAAAACCTACTCCATTACTCAGATGAACATAATAATGAGCTGCTGCATAAACTGTTTTATGACAAACACATTTTAGCCATAATCGTAACTTTAAGGCTTACCTCTTTTTCTTCTAAACATCATCCCCTCAAGCTATATGTTTCCTGTATTCTGCATTTGTACCCAGGTTACCACACGTCAGTGTTTGGTGTCACCAGTGACTGCCTGTTGGAGGGCCTGCCTGGTTTGAAGACTAGTGGCTGTTTGGTTGAGGTCATTCCCTCGCTTCCTCGTCTCCAGCTCAGCACCTCACTCCCACGGTCAGAAACTCTCTGAACCCCTTCTGAGTCAGTGTCATGGTTATAGTTCTTGGCTGCAGGTTTTGAGTTTAATTTAACACCAACACAACAGACAGCACTCAGACAGGCAGGGCTACAGATGTGTTTTATTTGCAGAGTTTGGCAATGCCCTCAATGTTTGTACAACCAGCTTACTGGGTCATTTGACTAGTTTCTAGAACAGTCTGTATGTAGTGACATACACACGTGATGAAATGATTTAATGGTACCAAAATGAATGAAATGACTCAAAAGAAGCATATTTGTTTTTCTCCTTGCAAAACGTTTGCAGTCACTTGTGTTAGGACCTTTTGGCTTCATTCTGGTCCTCAGTAAGTGAAACACGTGCTCAGTTGAATTGTGGTCATGTGACTGACGAGACAAGTAGAACATTGCACTGTTTGGCCATAAAAATATAAAAGGGCAACGAGTCCTACACTGTTCACCCACGATTGATGTGAACACCCTTAAAGCTGAAAGTCAGCACTTTAACCTCATAGTCATTGTTTCATTTCACATCCATTGTGCTGGAGTACAGAGCCAAAACGATGAAAAATGTGTCACTGTCCTACTACTCACAGACTGCACTCTACTTGGATCTACAATTTCCTAAAAGTAACAAAAGGTAAATGCTCAGCACAGTCTCACTGGCCTATTTGATATAAATCCTGCCATGTGAATGATGCAGAATAATCAACATACTTTCAACCCACATATGCCAAATTAAGGACCAGGTATTTTCTTGTGACCAGTTTGAGTGTCATTAGCATGCTTAGCGTTTGCCCTGATTTCACATGTTGATGAGTGTGTATGAAGTTGTTTAAAAATCAGGGTTTTTTTTTTAATTACCTTATGAAATGTTCATTGCCCTTGCGTTCAGGTATTTTAGTGGTTAAAAAGAGAAGGCATTATGGCGGACTGGACTAAAAGTCATAACAAATACACAATATAGTTGTTCTGTAGTAACCCTGTTGTAATTTTATAGCATGCAGCATGTAAACTCTGGTTCATTCATTCATTCATGCAGAGCAGCATTTGATACAAACTAGCAGTGTCACACTCGCTTAAAACTCAGGTCAGGACCAGGCTTTTCAGAAACCAAAGGTTACCATTTGAGTTGATTTAAAAAAAAAAATGCAACCGCAGGTGTTTTGTGAATATATGCATTGCCACTGGCAAAAATTAATAATGTTTATAGAATAAAAACGTTTTATTCTAGTAACTATTAAATTAATCGCAGACTATTCAATTAATGGTTTTGAGTCATTTTTAAGAAAAACATTTCTCATTTCAGCTTCTTAAATGTGAGTATTTTCTGGTTTCTTTAATCCTATGACAGTGAACTGAATATCTTTGGGTTTAGGACAAAACAAGACATTGGAGGACGACACCCTGGCCTTTGGGAAACAGTGATCAACATGTTTTACAATTATATGGAAAAACCTATAATACACAACAAATTTAATTGAATTGAAACCAAAACAGCACAGTGGAAGTGGCTGTCTAACTCGCAACAAAGCTGTTGATATTTGTAACAGAGCCTTTTTCCTTGTGTCAGAAATAGCTGCAGTCTCTGAGAGTAGCAGGTGAATTTGTATTCATGCACATCCTGTAAGGAGAAATGAAATTGTGGATGCAGTAAAAGTAGGGAACATAAGAGGAGAAATCATGGGTTAAATTACTACTAGAAGATAACAGGTAAAGCACCCTGTTTGGAGTGCTGTAAATCATTCTGACAGTGGAGCTGCTGCAAAATCCACTATTTAGGTCATGCCTGTAAGTACAGCACTTCAGCAGCTTTTTGATGTGGAAAATCTTTTTATTCTCCAGTGTAGGCAGAGTACCGTAGGAGATACATGAAGCAAATAGAATACAAATATAATAGGTGGTCTCTTGGGTGCTCTTACTGGGTCCACAGGTAGACCTTCAGCTTTGACTTCAGTCGCAGAGGTGCCTCATTGACTTCTGAGATATGTTCTTGCCTTCAGCACAAAGCTGCACTTCTTACTGCTTCTCTTTTTCACATTACCAACATCAGTGTTACACATTAGCTGTAATGTATAATATTTTTATAGGGCATAGATCTACCCAATGCCTTCAGCAATGTTTTATAAAACAGTTTTACCCAGTCTGAAGGAGGGAAGTGTCTGCTAAAACGCAAACCATGTGTTCTGCTGGTATAGTTGTAAAACCATTTAAAATTCCCAGTTTTTTTATTTGAAAAGGTTTCCTATCATTGCTTTATTACAACAATACGTTTGAAATGTCAGTAACGTTTCAAGGAGTTATTTTTGTGCTGACCCGCTGTCAAGCTCAGAAAAAAAACTATAGGCAGTTGGTGATGACTGGCATTGTAATTCTAGCCTCAGGCAGAGTGTTTGTTGCATATTAAAGTTAGGATACTAAACATGTGCATGTGTAATGAGGTACGAAGTTGTAGCAAACACCCACATTGATCTTTTGTAATCTTGTATATTCCCTTTTGCTCTTGTATTTACAAAAACACATACTAGCAGCTCTGTAAAACTTCAAGCTGAAAATACTTTTATGTAATGTCACTGACTGAGATGTGGCCATAGATACAAGAAAAAAAGTGGATGAACAGTTTACTGCTTTATGTGATTCAATATGGATTTACTCTTCAAATAACTATTACATTAATAATGCCAGGGGTCTATTATAGGGGTGTAAGAAAATACTGAGATAAAAAAAATCTGTTATCATCTTCATCAAAACTTGAGAAAGTAACAGGACTGTTTGCATCATATCAAACCACACCAAAGGTCCTTCAACATCACACGCCTGTAATGCTTTGAGTTATTTTTTTAGAAATCTTAATTTATATTGACCCCTTGAAGGAATAAAAGCAAGAAAAGTTTGTCCGTTTTACTTTCTGTCGTCACTGAAATTCTCCCTCATCCACAAACCTAAACAGGTCAGCCCACACACCTCAGCCGATGACCAAGGAGGAACTGTCCAGCACTGTGTCCGTCCAGCTTTTTAATGGAGAGACCCAGCAGCTGACCATCACCTTGGAGAACATCGGATCTGAGGACATCGAGACTCTGGAGCTCACCTCTAAGATTGTCAGCACCAAAGGTTAGTACCTCTGTCAAGGCAAGTGAAGCCATATCTGTTCATTCTACTTTGATCACTACTCAGATGTTGACAGAATAGACAGGAAGTTGTGTTAGCACAGTACAGCAAAGAAGAAAGGAACGGCAATATGTATAGCATATGGGTGTGAAATGAGTTAAGAAAGTAAACATGCTAAAACAAACAATGATGCACTGAAATCATTGATGTATGTGTACATGTAATATTTGGTATCATGCTGCCTTAGTCAGGACAGCTTTTGATGTACTTCATCCCCCACTGAGTTTCTGCTGCAGTCTCTTGCAGTCCCCACGTCTGCAGTGCCACAGAGGTCACTGCCCGTTGTCTTTGGTTCTACATCTTTCATGCCCCCGTGGCTTTTCACTCTGTGTTCCATCTCTTTGTTCAACACCTGCTCGGGTCCTCAGATCTCTGCAGTCCCCCTCACTCGGACTGGCTGTCTCTCCGTCTCTGTTTTGCTTTTTTGTCTTTGTCTCGCTGTCTCTGTGAAAAAAGCAGCTACATTATTAAAATAGGCAGCAGAATTTCAGCAAACATTGCACTCTGTTGTACTTTAACTCCTGGTATGCCTCCCCAGTGCTACCTGTAGTCAGAGCTTCAGCCATGTGATAAATAGTCATGCAAGCACATAATAATTCAGTATCCACACTATGACTATTCAATACATTTACACATACATCTCTGTGTAAGAGAATTCCAGTAGATGTAGTGTTGTGCTGAATTAGTGGAGTGTTGAGATTGTATACAACTGTACAACCTTTTTACTTTATCTACAAAGTAAAGAGGTAGTAGTGTGGTGGTCCATAAACAATACTACTAAATACTGGCATGCAATTATTTCCATACAGTATATTTCCATTTGTATCTGTTTAAACAGTAAACCCTGCTGATCTATCAATATATATCACTATGGATGAAGAGCCTAACTTATATTAAATGTTTGAGGCTGACATCGATATCGATATTTAAAAGTTAAACAACTCTGAAATAGTACTGCACAAACCAATGGGTGACATCATGATAGGTTTACACTTGGATTCAACCTTGGGAATACATTAGATACTGGATAAACCTCTGAAAAATCTTATTACTGTGCTCTCAACAGTGTTCGATCACACAGCGAAGAGCAAAGGAGGACCCGGGAGTCAGTATATATGAAATTGATCTGACATTTCCAGAATGGCACCCCAGTTCTGTGTTTAATTGAAGACAGGATACACTAACGTATCCTCTGTGTCAGGGTTAATACTCATAGGACTTGTCTTTACCAGGCAGCTTCTGTTAGTCTGGCACTGCTCAGTTGTATATTTGTCTCACTGTTCATGCATTTATATCACAAGCAAGTCAAGGACTCTATCTATTGTGTGGAGATAAGAAGAATCTTTTGTGCCCAGTCCTGAGGTACATTTAAGGCCCAATGACAGTGTGTTCAGAGAATTGGAGAATTCAAAGCCTAATTGAGCTCTCACTGTAAGGTGGATACGAATTAGCCTGTCAGTGGTAACTAGTACAGGACTGTAATTAAAATAGTCTGGGATTTTAAGACACTCATCCAGTGACTAACTGTCTATATCTCAGAGCCTCCCTGCTTCTCGCATCCCCTGCTCCCTGCTGGCCGGACTCCAAGGTACGATGTTGTCTCTGTAGTTAACAAGAGTTCTCTTTGAAATGGAACTGTTGTTGTGGTTGTTGGAAATGATTTAGGCTGCAAATATAGTATTGCCTCCAAGGGAATGTTATTTTCAGAGTGGGATGAACAAGCAAAAAAGAACTGACTTCTCTAGTCCTGAAGAAAAACACCATCTGTAGTTTAACTCAAAGACTTTCAACAAACACTTTAAAGTTAAAATGAATGAACTCAAACTCTACTTTAGAAAACATTAATATAGTAGACTTAACTTATACTATATACTTAATTTAACTAATACAAACACAAGCATGCACAAAGCCATTTAAATAGACTCACTGAAGGCAAAAAAAATGTTTGAGATTCTGTTAGAGCTGATATGTAAAACAGCTGAATAAAAGTGAATACATTGTTAAAGCTCCAAAATAAATGAACAAAACTGCAGTTCTGTCTCTTTCCTGTTCCACTGTGCTTATTTCACTCACAGTTCCTTAAAGCTGCTGAAGGCCAAAGGTTAAAAGGTCAAACTCTAAAAAAGTAGAAATTTTTTTTTCACTTTCAGTTGTAGCAGATAAAACTGTCCGAAAGAGAAACCACCAACAAAGCTCTTCTTCTGTCACTTTCTTGTTCAAATGTCTTCTGAATGAATCATCATTGTTTTCATCCTTGTTTTCAAGTTTCCTCTCTTTGTTTTCTGCTTTATCTTTAGTCCTTCCAAGCTGCCCTCTTCTCTCCTTCAAATCCTTATCGTCTTCACGCCACTATATTCCTCTGATTCTCCGTTTTTTTCCCCCTCCTCCTTGCGTCATCTCTTTTGGGAGCAGGGATTCCTTTCAAGGCAATGAGTGACCAGTAGCATCTGTTCTTTGAAGCCTCAACACTAAAAATTCTGTTCTTTATATACTTTGTTCTTGACCCTTTAGCTCATAATATGCCTACATTTATTCCCCAGAGTGAGAGATAAAAAGAAGTTGGAAGAAAGACGGTCAGCAGCTTAGTTAAATTTCGCCTCATACCTGTTCTAGTCCTTTCTTTGGCTTCTTGAAAGTTACCCCCCTACTCCTAAAGAATGGACATGTTTTTATCCAAATGTTGCACAAGAAAAGAAGAATGAGACCAGAATTAATGTGTGTTTCCATCCACCACTGTTTTACTAATAATAGGATTCTCTAGTCAGGTGCCATTAAACAATTGCAGAAGGAGAGGACGCACCGAGCTTGCAATTAAGAGAGCTCCAGCTCAACTTGAAACAGTGGAAAACACAATAGAAATATGACATTTCTGTTTGTCTCGTGTTAATTTGAGGAAGGTTACAGTCTCCTCTTCGCTGCACACAGATCTGATGTTTTTGTCTGCCTCTATTTTTTGTGTCTTCAGTGACAAGTGAAGTTAAAGTCACATGCTTCATTTATGTCATGATTCGTTTGCTAAGCCTATTTACATTGCACTTCGTCCCATTATCTTCTAAATCTAAATCTAAATCTAAATTTTGAGGTTTGATATTCAGCAACTTGGACTTGTGAGTCTGTATGTTAAAGGACAAGGCTGGCAGTATTCTGTATTTCCTTAATATTATTATTAGTCCATATACTTAAAGAACTTACTGCTACGTATAAATCAATCAGTGATTAGAAGACTATTCTCTGATATAATACTCATACACATACAGTACAGTAATCCCTTCAAAAATGATTGCAACTTGATTATCACAATCACAGTTGAGTATATTCGTTATATGTATGAATAATACTTCAATACTTCCTCGTCTCTCTCTGTTGGTCCTGTCCTTGAGGGAACTTAGCAGCAGAGTCTGGAAGCTACGATAATGTTGTTATCAGTATTCTAGCCATCTCTAACTTTGCAGTCAGTATTGTTTTGGCCATTTTGGATGACACACACATACAAAGAGTCTTAGAGACAGTCACATACATTCATGTACATTTAGCTTCATCATTAACATATAACACATATGCATATATGAACAGGATACAGCAGTGATCATTACAAAGTATAACTTTAGAACGTGTTAATTTGCTGTATGTATTGGCATGTTTCAGATCACTGTTGTGGTAGTTGCAGTTGTCTGTGTTAAACTTTTCTTCTCACTATCTCGCCCCCTGCCTGTTTATCTGCTCTTTCTCATTCATGCTGGAAAAAAACAACTGGTAACCGATACTTTATCAGTCTGCCAAGTTGACTCTTCTCATCTCTCACTCTGAATTGTTTTGTAATTTTGGGTGTATGCGCAGCACCCAAGCACATACTGTACCTGACACAATCTGTGTTCTTTCAGCTAATTGCAGCACAGTGACCCCACTGTGGACACAAGATTCCCATCTCCTCGGGTGTGCTCTTGCAGCAGGCTTCATTACAGTCCAAAGAAAGAACTCCTGTAAGCAATTAAGTATACCACATCTGAGCGGGGAGACCTTTGAAGGCCATTTTAATGTCAGATCAGCTTCCGTCTGGAGTGTGTCACAGGAGTTTTTACATTTTTTAAATGTAATCTGGGCTTCACTTTGTTCCTGAAGGCTGTTTGTGATGGTGTTTGATGTTGAAACTGTTTAAGTGGTTGTATTGAGTGATAACATTTTCAGGATGTGCTCCTACCACAAATATAATTTAAGAGATTTCGCCTCGGACATTAGCAGCTATTGTGATAGAGAATTGTGCTGTTTGTACGGACGGAACGTGTGGCTTCCCTCAGCCAATGACTGAGTTGAGATCTTCCATGGCAGACAATCTCACCATCTGCATGAGTTTTAAAAGTGAAGTAAAACATGTCAGCAAAGTCCCATGGCTCATTAAGATGTATTAGTTTACCCCTCAAGAGATTACAATCAGTTGTAAAGTCTTATTTCTCCCCCCGTATTTTTACTTCTTCCAAAGTTTTGCTTCAGTTTTTTTAGTAGTCGCTGCAGATGGAGTGGCAGCACTCCAACCTTCACATTCTGTATACCAGACTGTCATAGTCAAACATTAACCGACCAGTAACTTCGTTGTGTTCAGAAATCCCCTCATTTAATTAAGACCTTTCTAGGTCTCTGTGTATATGTTGCATATTTATTGTTCTTCTGGCTGCAGTAGCTGAGTAAAGTGTGAGCAGTGGACCAATAACAATTTATTTCCTCAGTTTAGATCAGATTTTAAGTAAAGGTCTAAGGTTATGAGGTGACATTTTCATAAATGTTTTTTAATACTATCTGTTTTGTGAAGCCTTTCTTGACTTATAGCGCTTTAGGACTAGGGATGGCTTTTATCTGCTAGAGCATACATATCAGCTCTATAAATCACTTGTACTGTTTCCTCCTCTGAGAACTAAAATAAGAAACCAAAAGTGAGAAATTTACATTTCATATGGTTTGGTTTCATGATGGTGCCTTCTAGTTTCACATAAATCCGACAGGATACTGTTATCCTGTTTTCAATTGGTGTCGGAATAATCAGAAAAATTAGTTCCCAAATGGGAAAATTCACGGGAACGCTCCCTCAAGTTGAAATGACAACTGTGAAAAGTGGACATGTTTTACTTGCTGAATTGTCGTCATATTACGCTGAAACATGGTGGACGAAAGTTAAGGAGAAATGTTGGGTTCATGGTAATACATTTTTTAACAAGTCGTAGGCGAAGGTACTGGTGCAACAGGTCTGGGACGAAATCACTAATGTAAAGCTTCAAACTGTTTCAGCACACTTGGACAGTAACATTAATCTTCACTGTTTAAATTCTTGCAGAAAAAATATACAACAGAACTGTGTAGTATTGTAGTATCCATGTTGTTTCCACATTACGACTTAAAGCTCGTGAACACACCAAAGTCGGTAGAAGAACTTCTCAACTCGGAAAATGGGACCATACGAGGAGCAGTGAATGCAGTGTTAGTTCTGTCTATATAGCTGGATAACTTGATTCCATACAGCAAACCCAATCACTTCTGTTTGAAAAAAATCAGCATAAAGTAGTAACATCAGCGTTCTATTGTAGGCTGACGGTCACACTGAGCCCGACAGCAGACCTCTACACAAGAGCCACAGACTCTGAACAACAACCCACATTAGCTTTCCTGCTAAAGTCTCCTTCTTATCCAACTTACAAACATGAACACACATCCTGTCCACCACCTCAGCTTGCTGAACGAGCACCCATACAAACATTCAGCGGTGAAAAGTGCACTGCTAATGTCAGGCAAGATATCTAATTAGCTGCTCAGCATGTAAACTGAACTGTAAATGTCACTGCGGTCCAGTTAGATGCTGCCGTGGTCCTTACTCTTCAACACCACTAACAACACACTGTCTGCCCATTGCTCGTAGCTACAGCGCAAGCTTGTTTACTGGAGCTCAGCCTGCCGGCTGCTGTCAGTCAAACACAGACAGGGACACGCCCCTCCAGCGGCTAACTGCAAAAGGAGCATTTCTGATATTTCCCAAAGGCTTTTTCCCCCCTTCCTTTTAAGTAATAAAAAAAACTAAAAAACAATTTTGGAAATAATGTTTGTAATTCAGTAGCTTGCATTTAAGTCTGGTAAACAGTCGACTATGTACCACCTCAAGGGCAAGACAAGGGTGGTGTGTTGGGTTAGAGCTATTTTATCTAGTCTAGTGTGGAACCAGGTGGGATACATAGCTATTCTGTTATTACCTTTTTATGTTTAGAAACAGTTGTTATTTGACCTTATATTCAGCATCGATGCAGTGATTATTGCAGAGTGTCTTATGTTTTATGCTAACCAAAGTGACCCCTGGAAAGCTGCTAGTGGATGAGCTGCCTTTGAAATAATCCATGTTTGCAGGGTATTGTTCCCAGTTTGCTCTAGAGGCTGGTAATTAGCACATATTGGAGTGTATTGTTTCTGCACTGCAGCCATACTGCAGCTTATGTATTTCTTGTCTCTGTTAGGCATTACAAAAGATTGCTGTGTTCTAACTTTTCATCATATTGAATACCAAGGTTTTTAAGTGTCCCCCTGTCACTTGATGCTGTCTTTTAAGGTTTCAAACGTCAGAAAAAGTCAGTTCAGCCAAAACTCACATTTTGCCTCAAAGGGAGAACAGCCTGGTGGACTGCGTGATACCACCCAACCTGCTAATTGCATTGCAGAGCAATTGATCATCCAGTTCTGTTCTCTATGTAAGTTAATATTTTTTGTTGCCATAACTTCTGAAACCACTGCAGTTTCAAGTAAAATGCCTTGCATAAGCATAGTCCTTGAGGAAGTTACCACATTTTAATGAATATGTATTTTTAATCTGATCAATCAAATTTTTACTGGTGTTTTACCACCTCTCATCCCATTAATGATGAGGAACTTAAAACTACTTAAAAATGTATTATTTAATGGTGGTTTCTAGATGGATACAGCTCTCTGAATGTAGCCACTAACTCCAGTGATCCTTTTTACTTTTATTTACATGGCATTCTTGAGATATTAGGAGTTGTCAAAAGTTCCACTGCAGCATTAAAACTACTGAAAAGACTGATTGCCAGATGCATACAACTCTGTGTAAGTTAACTTAATACTCCTATTTATTCTTTACGTCAGATTGATAAAGGCATGCATGCCATGCAAGCTCATGGTTGTATAAATCTCAAACATTGTAAAACTAGGCGCACACTCCCATTTATAGCCATAAATAGACTTAGACATTAGGGATTGCATTTCCCGAGGCCGATGCAATACACATTTATTGGTCACATTTCTAAATAATGAAGGAATAGGGTCTCTGCCTATTATATATACATAAATCTGATTTTAACAGTGCAAATATGATAGACACGATGCATTGCAAGTTCGTCCCAAATTGTATCTCATGCACACTTTGTTAATCGGGGCGATTGCATCTTTAAGTTGTGTGCCGGCACACTAATGCCTTTGTGGAATCTTCCCATCCCTATAAACAATTATTATTAGATTCTGTCCCTTAACTTATCTTTCCATCTGTTAATCAGCAAAGTTAGCATGCCGACATGAAAAAAATATATATTAGCATTATCATTGTGAGCATGTTAGCTCTGTATGCTGAAATTAGCCTTTAGCTCAAAGCACTGCTGTTAAGTACAGCCTCACACAGCCGCTAGCAATGCTGTAGCCTTGTTCAGATGTATTTTATTCCAACCAGTTTGCATTGTTTGTTTTTTTCCTTCTTAAGATTGTTTCCATATGATAACATTCATATTCTGGGTGCCTCAGTCATGTATGTACTGTAAGTCCTGATACTATGCTTTGTCAACATACCTGATTGCTAAGCAGGAGACTGTAGATTCACTAATGACAGGTGCTGTAGTGTTCCACTGCTGCACCATGGTAACAGGACAGGAATCCCTGGTCATCATATTACCTTGTTGCCACCTGCCTGTGCCTCCTTAGTTATAACCTGGTAATGGCTTTAGGCAGGCCACAGTTGAGAGGGCCTGTCTGAAGCCCTCCGCATTTTCTGTGGGAGCTGAATGAATAAAAGATACAGAGTTACAATAGGAAGACATCTGTGGAAAAAAACAAACAAAGCATTACTCTTTCTGGCACAGCCACAGCCATCTTGACACATGAGTTAGGAGCTCAGTTTCTCAAAAATAAATATTTATCCATAAAAACTTTATAGATAACAAAAAACTCTTAATACAGTAATATATTGTATCATATTTAAATAAGAGTGAACCGAGCTGTCTATGAATAGCAGAAAAAAAGCCACCATCAGACCTTTTGTTACCTTATTGCTTTTCTGTGGATATTAATCAACTTAGCATAATTGTCCTCTAAAACACTTAGGCACATTCATATCAAATTTCTCATAAGGACTAAACACTTTCCACTGTGCAGCCCATAAAAAAGGAAAACAGGGGCTATTGCTCCAGCGATTTTGTTACCATGAGCAGTATTGTCTGTCAGCTGCCTGTGCTGTCCTCCTTTCTCATTTGACTGCATCAACTTCCTTGTGATGGCTGTGTATTTGTGGTTCAGTAGTACTAGTTTTGCTTGACATGGAGAATGGAATTCTTTGTGCCAGAAACAGCTTGTTTCTATATATATGGTACCCATTTACATAAGTAACAATTCAACCAAAATGCTTAAATACTGCATACTTGAGTTAAGCAGGAAGATCTTTGACATTAGTTCACATTCCAGTCTTACAAAGCAGGAGAAAATTACTCAATGACAGGATAACCAAAAAATAAACCATGGATACAATGTATGATGTAGAAAACCATATATACTTGATCACATATTACTGCAGGCAGTCCCATTACATCATGTTTTATTTTCAAAACATGATTTGGACCATCTGACATTAGCTTGAATAATTGGTCAACGGCAAGTGTTATTTAATTAGTGTTTAATATTTTCACTTTTTCAATGTATGATATTTTTATTAGCCTATAATGAAATTATTATATCAGACTCCATAAAAACTTATAGATAGTGGCAGTAAATGTGGCTTAATACTAAGTCACAGCATTCTGGGAGAAGAAAAACTAACTTTTGTCGTTTTAATAAAGAAGTTAGGCAATAATTGTTCTCTGATTTTATTCTGCACATGGCATGAGTCTATGGACAGTGACAGTCAAAGTAGTTAATAGCGTTACCTGTTTGGAAGTGGAGGTGTTCTGCTGCAGCCTGTTGCCTGCAACTCTTCATCTAACTGTGGCTGCTCCTTGTTGTTCCATTATTCCCTGCAATATTTCAAACTGATCTGCTGTCACCAAAAAAGCTGGATCATTTTGTCTTGTTTTTTAGACATATTATTGTTAAGCGATAGCACCCAGTGTCAAGCTCACTGACAAACATTTTGCATTTCTTGTGACTAGCCTATTTCATAATAAAAGTCAACGTGTTTTGCCAGTTGAATGCTTTTATAAAATAATTTTTTTGGCCTTTTATTGCCTTTAGTGACAGCTGAAGATAGACAGGAAAGGGGGGCAGAGGGAGGGGATGACACGCAGCAAATGGTCACAGGTCAGATTCGAACCCCCCAATTGAATGCTTTTAATCTGAATCTGCAGCAGTCAGAAATGTTACTTTTATTCCTGCAAAAGATGCAGTATTAAGTTACGGCTAACAAACTTAATACTGCGTTTTTTACAGGAATAAAAGTAGTCTGCTGCACGTAAATGACGGGTGATTGGCTGGTAGCTGGCGCTTACGGAAAGCTCTGATAACCTCTTTAAAGGGAAACTTCACGAGTTTACACATTAAAGACTGTTTACAGGTGTTGGGGAGCTCTACTGTGAAATGTGAAAAAGTTCTTTAAAGCCTTAAGTGTCTCCAGAGGGAGCTGTGCAAAGGCTGATAAATTCACTCGATTCAGACTCCGTTTGAGCTGAAGACTACAACTTTGAAAATGAAAAAAATCTGGGGGTGCAGAGTTAAAAAGTAGTGAGCTTACCAGACCTCTGTTGCCTGCCCCTCATCTCTGCTTGAGGCTCGTGGCTCCAGGCTACATTACCTGCTTCTAGCATAACACACCCAAATCTCAGACTGAACAGCAGGATATTGAGTTGCATTCTTGGTAATGTAAGCACCATGCTTTACAAGGAAGAAGAATGCGTCAAATAAAAAAAGATATCTCTGGTTCTTCTGCATTGATTTTTAACAGAGTCTGACAGCAGCGGCATGCTAATTCAGTGGAGTACTCTTTTAATACTGTATGTCTATTGGTATTTAACTTTTGTGAGGAAAACATAGAATAAATTTAAACCAAATTCAACTTGGAGACGGATCAGCCCACTATCCCTCAGAATTCCGTTGTCACGATATACGCCCATGGGCAACACTGGGTTACAAAGCAGGAAATACTGTACCCTTTATGTAATGCAGAGGTGGGGGTGGTGAATGAGAGTGTAGTCTGACTTTCATGCAGGATGCCAGAGTTTGTCCCTTCACAGAACTGCAATTTAGAGATGTTCTGATGCCATTTTTTGTTTCCCGATACGGATTCTGATTCCTGAACTTTGCATATTACATCTGATATCCGATCCATCTGTGATTAAATAATAATAAAATGAAAATAATATGTATGTATGTATATATGTTTATTATATATATATGTTTGTTTATATAAAATGGTGAACAGGACTCAGCAGGGTCCTGCTTCGGAGCTAACAAATGATGTGGTATTGGATAGGTAAACAGACACACGTACTCGCTGATATCAGGTTCCGCATTTCAGGCTGTGTCTTTAATTTGCAATTGACCTTTTTATTAACCATAACCACGATCGTTCCCTAACCCCAACCATAGTTGCCATGCACAGATGTTGTCAAAAGCAAGAATTTTAGAGATACTGGCACAGAAACCCTTTTCATTGTTGCAGAACTGTACAATATTGTCCAATGTTGTTGGCACATACATAATTAAGCTTTGTGTTTTACCAGCAATGCCGTTTTTCCTCATACATCCAACATATAAAATGAATCACCACTAATGTCCTGAACTGAGTTTTAACAATTGCCATCTCATTCAGTCTATGGTCTTTGTTGTGTGATATAGTGGCTCTCTGCTTTTTTTTCTCATGGTTAATATCGTACGTCACAAGAGTAATGCTGCAGTGGTGTGTTAAACCCACATAAACTATAGAAGAACACAAATAAACAACAAATACAATCATTGGCTTTGTTAAGAAAAAGACAAACATTTTGCCATACATCTTGACAAATCTTGACAATTAACACTTCGATCAGCTAATATGATTGTGGTTTGATTATTTTCCATGACCTGCTTTAAATTAAACATCATTTGTGCACCCGGGGTTATGATAGTGTGGAGGTCAGATGTTTTTGTTTGGTATCCAGTCACCTTTATGTTAATCCATGCCTACTATTGACACTGTATTGATCACCTCCAGTGCATACTCCCAGAGCCCTTTTTCCCCCAATTACTTTTTGACCTAATGAGAAATTGGATGCTTGGTGGCTCCTGAATTTTTAATGAGCATTTTTTTTAAAGAATTGTGACGGTTAAAAGTTACATGATAACTCATGAAATTTCTCTGATTGGTCCTGACTGGTGTCTGTTATACGTACCTCACAGCTTTATTGCAATGCTGGGGAAGAAAGAAAAGCCTGGGAGTCACAGCCAGAGGGGATGAAAATCTAGCCTAAGTGTTCCGGACAGGGTTTGAAATAGTTTTTTAGTTAATAGTTTTTTTCATATCTGTTCTGGAGTATCACTTAAGTGATTTTCATATTGTATTTTCAAGATTAGGAATGTCTCTGTTTAATACCTTAATTAAGGCGTGAAAGATTTCTCGACAGTCATTGTGGCTACCATTTCTTCTGACTCATAATTTAGTAGTCTGATGATAATAATGCCATCCACAATCCTGGCTGTCTACCGATTCAATTACAAGGCCTGGTGTTGCATATTCAACTTGTTTTTTCTTCCCAGTCCCATTTCTTTGAGATCATTTCTCTGAGTTTATGAATATTTAAAGTGGAGCGTTATTCACAAAATCTTTATTTAATGCTGCCTACTTTCACATCCTCTGAGAGGATTTTAAAAGGCTTTGGTTATGAATCAAGCAGGGACGTGTAAACTGTTGTTTTTACAGTGAGCTTGCATCTCCCCTTCTGCTGTGCTTCTGTTAAAATCAGCCTGCGTGCTGTTCCTGCGCTCCCTAAGAGCAGGAATGGCTCACCTGCATAGACAGAGCACATGCTTTATTCAGGTGATGTATCATTCATTCGATGCTTCTGGCTGAAGTGGATGCAGCTGAGTCATTCGTCACAGGTAGAAGGGGCGGAGGCATAAATTAGAGAATTGCGTCTAGTGACGAGCGGCCAAAGGACCCGTAGGTAAAAGGCCAATCAGCAGCATTGTTGCTCTGGAAAGCTTATTGCAGAAGAAAGATCATAGTAGTCTCTTAAGCAATGTGCAACCTGCAGCAGGTACAATCAAATCAGTTGTTTTTTTTCTTTCTTCTTTTGCACAAACTACACAGGCAGTAACCAGAATAAATGCTAAATACAAAAGCCTTTTGGTGGCTACAAGCACAATGGTGTCATTTTGTTTTCCTTGTCCAAAAATATTTGCAAGTGCAAATTTGGCAAGTCTTGCCATCTTTTATCCCAGCGGAATCATGCTCAGAAATACCGTATTTATTGAACTAATTATTTTTTTATGTCATTTGTTTGTTTTTAATTTGCCTTTCTCTCCCTTTTTGTGTGTGCAGAGAAAGTGTTTGGGGAGTTTCTGAGCTGGGAGCTAGAGGAGGCTTTGTCTCACCTGCCTCTAAAACCTGGCCAGTCTGTGACACTGACTGTCGGCATCAAAGTCAAGCTGGACTTCTCTGGGCAGGAGAACCTGCTGCAGGACCTCAACGACGGTGAGTCAATACAGATGGGCATACACACTGTAAACCTGCTTAATAATGCAAAAATGATCATTCTAAATAGGTCCAAAGTACAAGTTTACTTTAAGCAGGCTCACTGCAGGGTTTAATAAAGTCTAAAATATAATCATCTGAATTTTAGGCCTTAAAATGTCTTAAAACAACTACAAAATGACAATACCAATTTTTCCTTCATACTTCTTTTTGCCAATATGGATTTGATATGGTCTGAAATTTCATTCAGAATGGTTTTAAAAAGGTCTTTCAAACTCTTCAACCTGTTGAAACCTGCAGAAACCACCAATCACCACTGGTCCAGCTCCATCATCAGGGCAGAATGTGTCCAATGCTTCTTATTAGATATCTGCAAAACTAATGACATTTTCACCAGCTTCAGTTGTACTTTGTGTTCAGAGCTCACTAGCAAATGTTATCTATGCTTACACTCTAAACTGAGATGCCGAACGAGGTAAACATTGTACCTGCCAAACGTCAGCATGCTAGCGTTGTCACTGTGAGCATGCTGACGTTAGCATTTAGCTCAAAGCACTGCTGTGCCAATATACATATATAGTGTTGTGGACAAAACATGAGAATCACATCTCAGTGTAATGCAATATATTTCAACAGCACCACAAACTAAAGCCTTCCAAATGACCATAAAGTTGAATAAGCACCTCTCTAAAACATCCTTGAATTAGACTGCATTGATTTAGTTAGTGGTTTATTAAACTGGGATCTGAGTCCCTCTTTCTTATATAGGCAAATGTTTTCTTTCATTTGTCTTGAAGTGGATTGTAGTAGTATTGTCATACCACGTTTAATCCGCCCAGCTGAAGTTACGCTAATGTCGGATTCAGAAATGAGTGTTAATGTGCCACTGTACATGGAGCACTCTTTGTTACGAGCATTCAGGCTGCCTTATTTAAGATTCAGCAGTAATAGGAGAGAGGTCTCAAGGTCTCTACACCTCCATTTCTCTCCTAGCTTCTGGCTTCCTCACTTCAACTGTCGGATTTCCTCTCTTCTAATTCTTATTCCTGGTGAGGAAAAAAAAAAGTCTGACCTTCTCCCCTACCTCGAAGCTCATTCATTGTGTTCCTTCTCCAGTCTTTCTCATAGTTCATGCTCAGCCTCCTTTCTTTCCTGCCTCTTTCCCGACCTCTCTACCTCCTTTTTCAGACTGTTGAACCTCTTCAGCACAGCCTCTATGGGCTGATGAATATTAATGGGAGATCAATATGGACCTGCTTCCGCAACACAGAGACTTTACGGTGTGTGTTTGTGTGTGTATGCATGTGGATTCAGATGACTGAGAAAGTAAATACACAGGACTCCGTATGTTTATCTCAGCCCCAGTGCCACTCTCCTCGTGAGGTCACTTAAGCGATACTGTTTCAGTGTTTTAATTAGCTGAGCAATAATTGGGGCCCTGAATTAAGGAGATAAGACATGGTTCATCTAAACAACAACTCTGGATTGAGTTATTATGGTGACATTATGGGACGCAGTTTTTGCTAAACATATTTGATGCTATCTACCGCTCTAATACGTAAATGAAATCCCATTAATAATGCTGTGTTAATATACTGATGAACTTCTTTGCATAAAGCAAGTTGTTTTGCTTTGTTTTCAGTCCGTTCCCCTTTGTGCTGGAAGACTAACAAGTTCTGCTATCTTCCTAATTAAATTGTGGAATCATGATTATTTTAGGCACAGCTGACACTCGTAACAACTGTTCAGTTGTATTCCTGAGCCACCACATGTGGTCACATTTACATTTTAGCTCTGCCACAGTGAACCATTACGTTGATTGAGGCAACAGCATAATAGGGTTTACCTGACTATCCAACCGAGAGAAACATTCTTAAAGTAGGTACAGCTAGCTGTCTTTCCAACAGTTGGATTAGAAGATCGATACAAGGCTCAGTGTCTGTGGAGCTGAGCTAGGAGGTGATTATCTTAGCTTAGCATAAACACTGTAAGCTTGGGGAAACAGCTAGCTTAGCAGTTAAAGATAGTAAAAGTTCAAAATATTTGTCTTGGTTGCCCGGTTAGCTCAGTCGGTAGAGCTGGCGACCAATATACGGAGTTGCTGCAGTGGCCCGGGTTCGAATCCGACCTGCGGCCCTTTGCTGCGTGTCATCCCTTCTCTCTCCACCCGTCAATCTTCAGCTGTCTATCAATAAAGCCAACAAAAGGCCAAAAAATTCAAAAAAGAAAAAAATATTTGTCTTCCAGCACCTTTGATATTCACTAGTTAACACATCGTTTGTTTGTTTAATCTGTACATAATAAAAATCTTTACATAATATAAATGTCAAAATGATCATTGGTGGTGAATTTCTGTGCTGAAACTCTTTCTCACAAACCAGTGCAGCTGTTTCACCCTGTTTCCTGTCTTTGTTCTGAGTTAGGCTAATTGCCACCGGCCTCTTGCTCATATTTGCTTACTAAACATGGTTTAGGTGTTTTCTGTATTGGTAAATTAAGTTTTTTTATTACTCTAACACAGTTAGTAATATATACGTTTAGGTAAGGGGCAGGCAAAATAAGATTTTTCGTGTTCCTGCTCCTTTTTGGACATGGGATGTGTAAATAGAGTTGTGAATCACTTTTATATTTTTATTTTGTCTGGAGTTGTGCATTACCATGAGCAGAGCAGATAGTTTAGCTTCCATAGCACAGAGCTGCACTTCAGATTCAAGCCTCTCATCCAGCCTGGCAAATAAACACCATTTATTAAATGTACCATTATCACTAAAGTAAGCAGAAGAATAGCAAAACATTTGACACACTGAGCAACAGAGACTAGGAAACAGAGAGAGAAGCTATCGCTACCTGCTGAGCTAGAACACTGTAGCTAGCAGAACTGAATGGTGTGTAAACTACTGTGGGAGTAGAGACAAAGTTGTTAAAAGCAGAGAGCTATAAGTGCTTGGGCAGAACTAGTGTAAGTTTAATGCGGGTTATTATCCGCTGTAATGAAGAATATAACACATTTAACAGGCAGCCGGAAATACGCTGACTGCATCACGTCGGGGGGGGTCACGTGTTTTGGTCACTAGATGCCATTATGTTATGACTCTTGTTGTATTGGTTAATTGACCTAATAGATGTAAAAGCATATATTTGAATAGATCAAACTTTTTGTAGAACGAATAATTGAACATCATTTTTGGCCAGTTTTGACAGCAGCTACTTTACAGCAATTACAATAATGAATCCAATTTTAATATGATATTGAAATTTAAAAATGCTACAGAACACGTAGAACCTTTATGATTTTGGCCCATTGTTTCAGACGTATTTAATTGAAATCTGTTAACTTTATGAATATTCATTGTCCTTGATAGCAGCAGATAGGTCAACACAATCAGTACTGAATGAAACTAGTCTTAATAAAAACAGCTGCTCCCACCCCAACGTGGAAAATCTGAAAATAATGTTTAATGTGTGGATGAATACGAATGGATTTCTCCATTTTGCCCAGGTGGAAAGATCTACATACGCACTCTGTTTCTCTTTCATCCCTTCTCATGTTCGAGCTCCACTGCCTGAGGAGAAATGATAGCTCCCAGCTCGGGCAGTGCTGGAGTCTCTGTCATGTGTATGCTGCTGGTATTGTGTTATATTCAGCACTTCACGCTCAGAAGTCTAGCAGCCCCCATATGACCAAGGTGTAGCTTTTACTGTCTGTCATGCTGTACTGAAGGTGGGAATTAGTTTGTCCCTGATTAACAACTGTCAAGAGCGATATTGCGTACCGTCAGTTGAAGTTTTCACTAATTATGTGCTATTTATTGGTCGCCTGTATTTACATGCGCATCGTGGAAGTAGTCAATCCATCAGCCTTAACTGTGATGTTGCCTGGCAGTGCTGCACTCGATGTCCTTTGTGTTTCAGCTGAGGCAGAAGGGGCAAATCAGACAAGGCCACAGAAAACAGTGCAGAGGGAACATTCAAAACAGGCCGAGCCTCATTGATTTATCCTCAGACGAGTTTATCCCTCACTTTGAGTCCGGCTCGAGACCACGACACCATAACTCAGGATCAGATGGGAGTGATGTCATCGCTCAGGACTAATGGGCCTTGACTTACAGCGAGCTTTATTGTGTTAAATGGTGTGAGTGTTGTACCTAATGACAATGCTACCGCCTACGTTAATGTTGAGATTGTCTTTGAAAACTGCAAATCATACCACAGCAACTGTCTGCATCAACAGCAGAGTAAGGAGACACAAGGAACACATTATACCTACTAACAACATGAATTTAAGGACTCAAACAAAGTGGAATATATATTTAGAAGTTCAGTTGAAATTAGTAAGGGAAAGGGAGGTGCTGTCTTAGTGTTTTCTATTTGTTTGTCCTCAGTCGACATCGGTGAGAGAATGCACTGCTGTCCTACTTGAGTAGTTACTTTTAAATTACTTCACTTTCAACTTACACCAGCAACTTATCCCCCAAGAACTCTTTTTAAAGTAATAACCTGTGACATGTTCATGTTATATTTGTGTTTTACTTCTCTCTGTTGTCAGGTGATACAAGAGCGCTGTAATTCAACCTGTTCCCATTTTATGAAAGGTTTTATATTTGCTGTTCTGAATATGTGAAGTCTGGTAGGAATCTTCTCTAAGGAAATAAAATAATTGTAGCAAATAGCGATGGGTATCGAATCCGTAATGAGTCCGTGACACTAATTGTTTAAAGTATTAAAAGCTGTTCTTCAGCGTTTTGTTTTTGTGTTTACACATTTTTATTTTTAAACATCATCTTGATTGTAATCAAAGGCCCGATTTGCACTCAGTCCTTTCATGTGTCTTTGCTGCATCGGATAGCAATTGGATACCAAGGCAGCTAAGAAGCATTTGATACAGATTGATTTCTGATCGCTCAAACCACCTCGGAATGCGATCAACTTCCAAGTAGAAATTACGAATAGGAATCTCTATTTCTGAGCTCCAATATGTCCAACTTGGCACTCGCTAATAC